AGATCAAGTAAGTCTGTACCAACTTTGGTCTCATTTGGACTATTAGTTTACAAGATAAACAAAAATTCAAAATTCATTAAATATGCAAATGAGCTTGTTAATTAAATTGAAACTCAATATTGAATAGCATATATTTTATATTGACAAATCAAGTCTCTGCCAAGTTTGGTCTGATTTGGACTATTAGTTCATAAGATATTAACAAGGATTCAAATTAATAATTAAATATGCAAATGAGCTCATTAATTGATTCCTTAAAAAAATAAATCAACGTGCATCTGTAGAGTGGTCACTCTGTCTTTGTACCGAGTCTCAGCAAAATCGGTCCAGGCATCTCCAAAACAACCCCCAAGAAACTGGATTTTACAGGATTTTGACATTCAAAAAGGCCACCATGCAGCCATATTTTATCAAATCAGGAAATAGATCCATGTGAATATGTATACCTCCTCACTGTGTCTTTGTACCTAGTATCATTGAAATCAGTCAAGGCATCTCCGAGAAATATAAATGGACAGACAAAAGCCATGATTAACAATCAAAATGGCTGCCAGTCGGCCATATTTGATCATTTCAAAAAAGTAAAACAATGTGCATCTGTATGGGTGGTCCCTTTGTCTTTGTAACAAGTCAACAACAATTGCTCAAGCCATCTCCGAGAAATGACAATGGACACACAAGGATCGAATTTGACTGAATTTTGGCATTAAAATGGTCGCCAGTCAGCCAAATTTGATAGAATTGGAAAATAAATTGACGTGCACATGTATGGTTGACCACTTTGTCTTTGTACCAAGTTTCAAGTAAATCGGTCCAGCCATCTGAGAAATCACTCCGGACTGACGAGGACGAAACTACAAGCCCCCTCCCAGACTTTGTCCGGGTGGGGGTTAATAAAAGCTGTAAATGTATATCTAAGATCTGGGAATGGAAGAAATGCTTGATTGTGTTGGAACATTAAAATGATTCTCAAGCTGGTAGTTATCAAGAAGTTAATAATAAAATGTTGACAGACGATAACATTTATCAGGACAGGTCTCATTTGTTATTATTCATTTTTTAAACACTTTTAAATCAATCAATGTAATAACTGTACCAAACACAATGTTTAGTGGTAAAAGCAAATGGTGTGATTACACATCAACCAAGACTTTTCTGTTCAATTGGGATTCTTGCTGCATTACACAAGTGGCTCTATACAGGGCCTTTTTTAACACTTTTACCCTTAATTTCTCAGCTGGCAGTGTGTAAATTTCATTGGTGGTTTATCTAAGCAAATTTAGTTACAAGGATAATCACAAAGGAAAATTGTTTTAAAGGTAAACAATAGTGTTCCCAGGGACTGACACCTTTTCCCTTTAAACTATAAGAGAGAAGTTCTTGGGGGTTCATGGAAATTGTCTTGGTGTCCTTTGAAAAATACACATTTTCTTTATACTATTCTTATAGCCTAATTTAATTTTATCAAATTTTGCCTTGAAAATGAGTGTTCTCTCGACTTACCTCGTTGTTTGACACCACGGCCTGGAGGGCATTTCTTGTGCTGCTTACAATAGTGAACATGCCAATAATATCCATCTTGACATGCCTTACATTGAGTGTCATCAGTTGCAGTACACATAGCAGACATCTCATCTGGACACTCAGTACACTTGAAACATTTATCAAGTCCACTGGAATGAGGCATAAAAGATTCTGTTGGACATTTTGCACACGTAGTATCATTTGTGTTTAGAAAACAAGGTTCCTGTACATAGTATCCTGGTGGGCATTTTACGCATCGACGATGATGTCCAGTACTCGGATCTTGATATCTATATGTCTGGTGCACATCAAAAGATCGGACATTTTCTAAATTATTTCCAGTGACAAGACAGCAACACAAAACCTTTAAAAAGAAAATAACAAAATTTAAATGCAATGTCAGTGATTTGAATTTAATGTGTTGGACATAACATTGATATCAATACTAAATTTGAATTGCACATAAGCTGCATGTCTAACTGGAATGATTTTGTAGGATCCCCCCTCCCCCCCGAGTCAAAATGAAATTTCCCAAAATCAAGACAGCTTAGTGACTGCTGGGAAAGTCAGACTTTTAAAAAAATTAAAATGCATGTGACTGTATAAGCCAAAATATTGTGGCCTCTGAAATTTAGTTTGTATTTACACATAATTTGTTTATAAAATGTGAATTTCATTTTACCATAACTATATCAAGAAGTTTTTTTAAGATCACTGTGCCAATGTATGGCGGCACAAGTCAATTAGCATAACTAGTTGTGTCACAACAAATCTTTATGGATCAGTGGTACTTCATGTCGGTTTAGAGGACACATTGTACATGATGTAGAAGATAATTTTGTGTCATGTGATGGCATTTAACTTCCTTGTTTCTATGGCAACAAATTGGTACAACTACTACCTTTTATCTAAAATCTATTAGCATGAATAATAAGATTAATGTCTATCATTGACTTCATCTCTTTCTACTGAATCCAGAAGATTATCAATCGTCATAGTGATGTCCAAACTGACTGTTAATTGATGAGAGCTACATGTAGGAACTATTGTAATTAGGTCAGAAAAAAAAGAATCCAATGGATTTTAATCAGCTTAGCAAGCACAGCACTTTCTTTATTTCCTGCATTTATCTTCTGTAAAGATAATCAAAATCCCATAATTTATTTATGACAGCCTTCTGTCGCACTGTACGCGGCCGCTGGCCTGTCGCACTGTACGCGGCC